ACTGGGAGGTTTTTTCCCCCCAAGTACAAATAATATTTCCAATTTTTGGATTGGGACTATTCTACAATGAAGTACTCTTGGATAATGTAATCTAAATACATATGAAAACGAAGAAGTGGCATTTATCGGGCAGAGAAGCGGCGAGCCATTAAAATGGCGGCAATTTGACGATATATCGAAGGACACATTATCGAAGATAAAATACACTGCACTGTTTCAAAAGTGGATGAAACCTTCTTTGAAATCTTCTTCAGCCATTTATGATTATGTAAAAGTACAATAACTGGATGATATTTGCGTGATTCGGCGATAAAAAGCAAACAAGACAGCAAAATATGGCTGAAATCGCGTTTTCGTGGGGGTAAGTGAAATAAAATTTATTATATTTAAAGAAAACAATGACAATCCTTATGAAATTTTTAGGAAATAAGAATATTTAATTTCTGCCAGGCATATTAGTTATTTTATGCATAATCAGCAATTTACCTGGGGTGGTGCATGGTCATTTTCTTGTAAAATATTATCCTTGGACAAATTTTTCTTCCAATGACCACCCCTAAATTAAAAAGCAACCCTTCCAAACACTATAAGCACTTCAGAAAGACTATCGCTTTTTGTTTTCTGAAGTTAGAGCTATGTCGACACTGCCGTTTCAGGGCGTGGTCATTTTCAGGACTTTCGCCCCGGATTCAGCTTTTGGCACATATGCCATGTTGACCGCCATGGTCATTTTACCCTAAAACAGTTGAGATTACCTGTGCTAAATGAAACGCATACAAACTCATATACAGGTCCTAGACTATTAATATTGTCTACTTTTAATAGCGCAAACATACAAATCGATGAGCTGTTTAGGGATTTTATATTTGTTACTAAATTTCCCAAAATTAGAATTTCAATTGACAATTGTTGTTTTGTTCCAGTTTGCATTGATCCATATAATGTACCATTTAGTATTTACATATCGACTATCGAGTATAAATGTTTACGAATACGTAAGTTAATTATTAAGCAGCTGTTAATAGCGTGCGTGTGAAATGAACATTTATCCATACAAGGATTTGTTATTTTATTATATATTCCACCACCTCAAACTCAAATTATAGGCATATAGCAAATGCTGTAGTTTAGAATAATGTGTGTGTACTTTGATGCACAGTTAAAATAATCAGTAAAATTACTTTATTAGTTTATTTTGATACACTAATGTCCATTGATCTTATTATATTTCACAAGTACTAGTACCCAAAAATACAGCATTGAGATGTGTTGGCCCAGTGCGACACCACAAATTATTATTGTCTCCCCACACGTCGCGTTTAAAGAAAATGAAAGCTTGTTGCTCGTTTAACGCCGGATTAACCACGTGTCAAATACGGCAAATGCCGTGGGCCTCGCGCTTTACTGTGCTACGCCCATTTTTACGAGAACACGGTCATTTTCTATTGGGACACACCCATTTTAGGTGCCTCGCGAATTTAGGGACCTTGCGCATTTAGGGCCCCTAGGCTTGGCAGTTCGCCCTAGCACGGCCCCGGGAAAATATGCAATACTCGTGTTCATATAATCTCTAGTTGCGTTGAGCTGTTATATTATGATCCTGTTTATACCCACCAACTGCGCCAGGCAGGCCATTATCTCGTTTATAATTGATGCAAATAAATTGAAATATTGAAAAAAATTATTTAACAATTTTGTGTGTCTTTTAATTCAATGGTTTTCATAAAAAGAAGAAAGGGGGAGGTTTGGGGGCCTCGCGCTAAAATTTGCCACGGGCCTCGCGCGACGTTAATCCGGCCCTGGTCAATTGTCGGTAGTTCTTGCGGTTTTAATGCCAATTGACAAAGATCAAAAGAGAGCACTGATGACTCCCCCCGTCGGAGAAATACTGGCGCAGCCCAAACCAGCTCTGTGAAATATGGGGCCCCAGGGCCAATTATACCCTTGGGGCCCCGGTGAACCACAATTACCCCCCCTTCGTCGACAAACTTTTTATCGCCTTGCAAATTTGTATTTGCCTGTCTTCATTGAGCTGGGGTCGCGGAGAAAATTGCTCCTTTTGCCGCCTCCCTGCATGGGCGGCCCTGGCGCCGCCCTTGTCTTATCATAACTATCTACCCTAATTCAAGCTGATTGGCGCGGCTCGATGAATTAATTGCCGCTTTCAAACAGAGGTTTATTACTTTAAACCTCTAGAACCAGGGTACCTTTTGTCACTCTGAGGCCAGTGATATAACCTCTTCCGCAACATGCACGTACGCGTCTACTATCGTCAAGAAACAATCAATACGTATAATCGTTGTGGTCTGTGGGATTTTAATTCCATAGTGTAAACCTTGCAGTTTTAGGGAAGCCTCACATATCGATTTTTCCCCAAGAAACGTCCTATGTTCGTTTTGGGGTTGGGGGAGGGGGGTTTACAGCTGTGACGTTTCTCTGTAAATATCATGGAAAAGTTCGATAGTTTTTTCGAATACCTTAACATTTCGGAATCAACTTTGCAGAGTATAAAAAAGAAAACAACTTGAAAGAAAATGACTATTCAAATATAAGGGCTGGTAAACTAAAAATAAAAACTCCTTATATGGGTATACATTATAAACGTTCATTTCACATGTACACGCACGCTAACAGCTGCTTAATAATTAACTTACGTATTTGTAAACATCAGTCGATAAATAAAATGGTACATTAATATGGACAAAATGGATCAAATCCTCTGAAAACAGCAGTTGTAGTTCCAATTCTTTTGGGGAATTTAGTAGCAAATATAATCCTTAAATAGCTCATCGATTTGTATATGTTAGCGCTAAAGTCAAACGGTCGGGTCGCAGATCACGTTGAATAATGATCTGAAGTTATCGTGCAACCGTCAACAATGTCTCAAAATACTGGATGTTTGACGATTTTTTTACAAATATACCGGGATTTCTGGACCACTTTTAAACTTAGCAAAGCGAAAAGTCTCCATTCAAGAATATGTTTTTTTCTCAAAAGGTAAAATACTTAGAATACTTGATTAAATTGTTTACTTTGACGGTGTATAAATTGACTTGCAAGACGTCAAAAACGGAAGATTTCATCGCGCTGTCGTTTATCGCGTATTCATTTGCCAAAAGAAGTATTCACGTCAATTGAAAGCTTGTTTATTAAAGAGCCAACTAGTAGAAGCATGATCGATTTGGAGCTTTATCGCATGGTGAAAATCGATTTTGTTAAGAGGGTATCGTAAATGAAGTAAGATAGTGTGCTCCAAAACTACGATTATTTCTATTCCTAAAAGTAACTCAGATTTCCTGTAAGTCATGTACACAGTCCTTTGAATAACCGAAAACAAGATTTTTGGGTTTTAGATCGATTAGAAACGGTTGTCGTCGTGAAATTTATCTGTAAAATCAGCACATATTTTCCCAGAAAAAATGGCAATTTAGGGTGGTCGTGTTAAAACGGCATTTTCTCAAAGTTAAAAAAGCATTTGACCTAAAAAAATATATGGTGCATTTTCCGATATAATAAGGTATATCTGGGCAAAATTTGAGCAAAATCGATTTTTCAGTCGTGGCCGCTTTATGTTTGATTTTTGTGGACATCCTCTCTTAAGTGATCTTGAAGATGCAGTAAACTCAGATTTAAAAATGCTTCGTAAATGGCTCATGGCAAACAAACTGAGCTTGAATGTGGCGAAAACTGATTTTCAAATTATTGGTACTAAACAGATGCTGAAGAAAGCTTCTGTTCAGCAACTTAAAATTCACATTCAAAACATACACATAAAGCAGGTTTTTCAATGTAAAACACTAGGTGTGACTGTTGATGAAAATTTGTGTTGGAAGAGCAATACAGATAATATATGTAAAAAGATATCATCTGGAATATACACTCTTAAAAGCATTAAAGAATATGTTGATCAAAAAACACTCGTTTCCGTATACAATGCTATAATTCAACCATACTTTAGCTACTGTTGTGAAGTTTGGAATATATTTGGTGAAACGCAATCCATGCGTCTCCAAAAACTTGATAACAGAGCTGCTCGTGTAATAGCATGTGTGCCTAATGAGGTAGATCAAGAAACTGTGCTAAATATATTAGGATGCGAACCACTCAAGGAACAATGAGTGAAAGCAAAGGCAAAAATAATGTTTAAAATGCTAAATAACATGGGGCCAAATTGTCTCAAAGAATTATTTACTTTCAAAAAAGAAATATTAAACCGCAGTCTTCGTAACAGCTCAAGTACCATACGTTTGCCTAAGCCAAACACAAACAATATGAAAAAGAGTTTCATGTATGATGGAGCTTCCATATGGAACTCTCTTCCAAAAAATGTAAGAGAAAGTAATTCACTCTCAAGTTTTAAAAGAAAAATCGCTACCTATAGCTTATAAAGAAAACCACATCATTGCAAATAGCAAACTTTTTGTATATATTTTAATAATTTTATATTCTGCATGTTAATACTTCCTTATTATTTTACTTGTAACAATTTGTTAATGTTTTGTACACGCCCATTGTGGAAACCAGCTTCTGCTGACAATGTTAGCGTGGTTAAATAAAGTTTATCTCTATCTATCTATCTATACTATCTATACAAAATAGACAAAATAGATTGTCTTATTTGGAAAAATCAATTAAAGTTAGACCGTTTGCATGTTTTTCTTATTATGTATATTATACTAGTTCGATTAAAAAGATATTACGCAGCTTGCAATTTTGTATTAAATTTTCATATGAAAATAGCTGAATTCACAATAGGGATACAAAACTCGCCTTAGACAGAAAACTCATCTACGACATCTACTATAAGTCTGGCAACAGATGAGTTTCCCATCTCAACTAGTCTGTCTCAACTTTTCCATCTAACTGTTCCTTCCAAACAGATGTGAAAATTTATATTCAGACAGATTTCATAGTCAAGTATCCCTTCTCTAATATAGTCTATAGAGACAAAGTTTTATCTTGGTAAATAACAAGTCAGACAAATTTTACAGACACAAATTTTACTTGCCCAAAAGCGTGTATTGCCCCATTCCACTGTAAACTTTTGTGCGCAGATTTTCCCACTCCAGTTGGCTACTTGCAATGTAAACCTTCCCAGACACACCTTCTCGATTGTCACATATTCCAATTTCTAGGTTAAAATCACCAATAAGCCACCTTCGAGCATCAGTTAGCAATCCATACTTTTTACGCAGCTCTGACTTGAGGATTTGTAAATCCTTGTGGTTTTCATGAAGAGCTATAAGGGTATTTCTAGACCCAGACTTTTTACTATGACCATACTTATAAACCTCAATAATTGCATCACATGTCAAATATGATGACAGTGATGAAGGAGACCCAAACGGTCCATACTGGGTTATGGTTGTCTGCTGAATGTTGTTATTCTTGCTAAAATTAGCGGATGGTTGGTCTTTACAATCAGAATGATCGCTGGAGTAACTGCTTGCAGATGATTCACTTGAATAAGATGTTTCTCGTTTTTTCTTCTTTCGGTTAGAACCATGTAGATTGTCTTCTTTAGAACCATCAGCATGATGATGCCGTTTTCTTCTTAATTGCCCTAAAAAATAATGCGTTTGAACTAATATTGCTATTTCAAACATTACAAATCCATGGACATTAAATTCGGTTTTTAACAGAATTGGAGTAAAAAAAAAAATTACTGGGTGTCCAGTATTTTTTTGTAGTGGTCCTAAAGATTAAAACCATTAATATACAGTGACTATAACAAGTCTAACAATTGTAGACATTGTATTGTTATGCAATCACTACAATGGTGAATAAAGAAAATCCATATTAAATATTGGCTGGACATGAATGCCTGTCTCAACATATCACAACTCACAGGCACTTGTACAACCTCGGTCCCAGGGTACTTTTGAGGAAGTACCCTGGTAATTCATGGTCACGTGACTGCCCAGATGTTGGGCAGTAAAATAATTTGTCATGAGGGAGGGGTGAGAAAAGCGACATTTATCATCCAGCAAGTTTGTATTACAAACTCGCGGGATGATAAATGATCACCCCTCCTTCATAACAAATTATTTTATTCACATGACTGCCCAAAATCTGGGCAGTCACATGACCACAAATTACCAGGGTACTTCCTCAAAAGTACCCTGGGACCGAGGTTGGCACTTGTATTGTCTTGAAAAAGTGTGATATGGAACCTAATAACTGTAATTTTTCTGCATCTTCAAGTGCTCACTAATGGTCACTAATAAGACGAATAGTAATACAGGTATAGACATAGGCTACACATACTTTAGTATATCACGATTATGATGCATGATTCAAAGCATGATATTACAAAAGGTTATTGTAGTGTATGTAACAGTATTACATAAACCATCTAAGAATCTAATACTATGTAAAAAATGTGTGTAACATCGGGTACAATGCACAAAGTTGAGCGAGTTGGCAATGAGACCTCTAAGGGGGTATGCCCCCCAATAATTTTGAAATCTGGAGCCTTTGAAGTCTTTGAAAATTCAAATGCCATTTAAATTCATAGTTTCATACACTTTCTGGTTAAGATTTTACATAATTCTGATGTCCAGAAAAACAGAAAATGACATGTGTCACATGCTGTGTAAAGGTGGCTCAAGCTTTGATAAATGTCATAAATTGCTTTTATTTTTGTTCTGACTGTTCTTGGATAGTCCAAACGGGTCCCAAATGCCAATGTCCATGTTTATTGGCTGTTTTAGGGAAACAAAACAGGATTTTTTAAAGAATGAAGCAGTTCTATAAAGTGCTAACTTATGACACTTATGTTTTGTTTTGAGTGTTTGTGAGTTTGAGTGGCTCTATATACTAACGATATTTAAGACTTTTAAGTGAATTGTATCATAAACAATTTAAAGAAATACATACCAGGGCTACTGTCGCAACTTGTTGATCGTTGCCTGTCTTGTCTAGCTTCTTTGTTCCTCTTCCTGCCCGTTTTATGGCTTTTGTGCTTCCTTTCTTTTTCCTTGTCTTTTTTGTGCCGCCTTTGGTGCTTGTGCTTACCCATTCATATAATTAATAGATTAATTTATGATTTATTTATTGACCTTTATTAAAATTTAAGGCAAAACACTCAAAATGTAGCCTTTGATCTAACAACTGAAGCAGAACCGTACCTCGCCGTTTATCATAGACAGTCGTAAACAAATCGTGAACCTATCGTGGGCATATCGTAATCATCCTCTGGTAATCATCGTTGATTGTTGTGGTGTTTTGACACCAATTTATATATAGTATACCGTTCTGTGTTTTTATGATGACCGCTGATCAATGACATCAATCACAGAAACATTTGCGTTTTACAACATTGTGTCTCATTTACTATTTCATCTAGATTCTAGAATTTCCACAGGAATACCCAAAATCTTATAGGAAATTCCTATAATAATTTGGGACTAGACTTGAGAATTCTTATAGGAATTTTTCCTATTAAATTCTTATAGGAATTCCTATAGGAAAAATTCCTATAGGAATTTTGTCCCAAATTCCTATAGGAATTCCTATAGGAAATTTTCGTAAGGGATCGTACTTAGCATTTAAGAATGTTATATGTTCCACAACATCCTCGACTTTGCTTTTGAGATCGACAATCGTTTGACTTAAAGGTGTGATTTTCTGCTCAAATTTTTCCTCGAGTTTCTCATCGAGAATCTTGATAAATTGCTCAGTGGTTAACATAGACATAATTATAAGTAAATATACAAATATAAAGCAATAAAAATGCATTTATAGACAAGTATTCAACAAAAAATTTTTTATCCACTTCGTGCGTCATGCATGTCAACATATATTAAAGACCATGTAAAGTCCGAAATATAAACAAACACTTTGTCTACATTTTGAACTCAGTGCTACAGTTGTGAAATATGATTAGATATATATTATACTGAATTTTTAACACTCTTCTGGTTCGCTATGCTTGTAAATGAATGCAGACTAGAAATTCAATTCAAGAAAGTTCAAAAGATACGAAATATTAATAACATTCCAAGGGTCGGGTCCCGACGGGTATACATAAAGTGCGAGCCAGCGAGCCATGCCGATGTTGCGAGCCACCACAGATCGGTGCGAGCCACGCGATGTATGTGAGCCATGTGCAATAAATAAATATAAGAAATTGGTCTTGACCAAATGATACTGAGTACATCTTGACCAAATGGTACTGAGTACATCTTATCTCCAGGACACAATAGACAACTTGCGTGTTAGACTGATTTTTGATCTAGGTAAAAAAGTAACTTCCCGTAAAGAACTTGTTAAAACTGGTGAAAATGCAAAGTTCGGTTAGTGTGAAATGTTGTAGAATACGGAAGGTGTAGCCTTGCCGGGTTTGCATGCATGTTTTGTGTATGTTACAATATTGTATTTGCCGAAAATGCTAACAATTTCCGCACGTAATACAAACATATGCAAGGTTTGCACACTTTGCAGGACTGTGTTTACCAGGGTTTGCAACATTAATTTCGCGGCCGAATTTTGCGATTTTGCTAATTTCATTATGTTCCTTTTAGCTGTGGTATTTGATTCCCTTCTCTTTCCTAGGGTTAAGATTTGGTCTAACATGCAGGTTGTCCATTAGATCTTAAAACACCTAAAATTCCTGTAATTGAAATTGGGTTCTTGATTATATTTTTATTTCGTTTCTGAATTTTGTCTATTATTTACTATAATATACAGTCTTACATTTCACTCGTTAACCATTTTAAATAATTTTAAATACGATTTGCATGGCTCACACCTTGGCTCGCACTCTGGCGCATGGCTCGCACAATATTGAAACTCGGTCCCGACCACTGGAATGTAAGCCTGCGCAGAACGTATGCGCAGAACAGACTTTACATGGTCTTTCATTAGATATATAATCATCAGTCAGACCGACAGCTTTAGCAAAAATACTAAATAAAAAATCTCAAAAAATTTCAAAAAGATCCCAAAATCTTAAACATTTAAAATAATCTTAAAAATCCGAAAAATCATGAAAATTGTTAAAAATTGTGCAAAAATCTTACATAATCTGTAAAAATCGCAAAGAAATCTTATCCCCGAGCCGACGGCGCCGTGCAAGGGTACTAATTCCCCCCAGCTATTTACACCCGGGGAAACGAAAGCATTAGCGAAGTCTAAAGTTCATCAATTATCATGGGCGGTGGTCATCCTCACTGATCTCAAAAATATGACGGACTGTCATGAATAGCGGACACTGATTGGTCCAATTTAAAGTTTGCATTATAACGACTGCATGACGACAGCGAAATAGCAAACATTTCTCGATTTGATGATTGATAGATTTTGTGCAAATATATTTCATTTTTGCTCGCATTTTTGCAAGATTTTGTAAATTTCAAAAGCTCTCTCAGAAAGAAACTGCGAAAGAATCAGCTAAAAGAAGGGAGCTGACGTTAACGAAGGTAACTTTGTTTTAAATATTGATTTTATAATGGCTTTAAAACCCGACTGCCTTTGCATATATGAAACAACTATTAAAACAAGACAGCATATAATTTCAGTGTATCTTTAATATTGATTCCCTTTTTTATGATATTGAATTTTTTAAATAAAAAAGAAAGCAAAGTTATTTGCAAGCGAGAATTTGAAATCATTTTATTGCAAACTCAAAGTTTATCAATAAAGCCATTTTAAAAGGCAGTTTAGTTTTATAAAGAACACTAGTGACTTTAAAACGTTTTGCGAAGCGTTTGTGGTTGAATTTTACCTTAAATTGAGGCTTATATTACATACCTAACATATATATGTTGGGAAATTAATAATTTTGTAATTAAAAGTGATATTTTTAGGCGATTTTTCATTTGTAAGAATATTCTTAAAAATTTATCATGTTACCATGACAACTACTTTAGATACTGGTGAGGGTTTCTGCATGCATGTATTTTCTGGTCTAAATCATAACAACCACACACATGCCATGCACACAAAGCACTGAAACATAAATAGAAGTAGTCTCGGTAGTCACCTATCACAATGCAACTCTGTTGTCACATGATATGTGCCAACCAATGAAAATATGTTAATGTGTTTCTCAGTCAACTGGTAGAATTTATAGCCAACAGTGTTGGAGCCATGGAGTGATTGGTAAACTTTTTGGATTATTTTTTGTCCATTTTGAAATGAGTAAGAGAAGGTAAGTGTATAGATAAATTATTCTATGTATTTACTGATTTATTTGAGAGTTCGTTCATGGTATATGTATGTTTGCATGTGGTTTGTCGCATTGTTTGTTTGTCACATCGTTTGTTTGTCACATTGTGTTCACCCGATTAGCACGTTTGATGCGGACTGACAGCCGGAAATTTTGTCTCCAATTGCTCGGCTGCCAGCCGGGCTTGTCCTATAGTATACTATTCGTTCAGAAAATGTGCGCATTTCGGAGATTGGTTCTAGAGTGTTTTCATAAGCAGAAAACCACCAAAATTACATTAAATTTTCCGAAAATCATCGAAATGCATCTAAATTCATCTTCCCAATGCATATAGCTAGCTATAGCTGAATGCATTCTTCAACAATACTCTTTCTCCACTTCGGCACCTCTACTTGATTTGGAAAGCTATTTTCTTCCTTCAAATATGGTGACCATGGCTATCAAGGAACGATTATTCTGAACTGGACCATTTTATCACCAGCAACGTCTACACCTATGTTGAGCTGAATGGTCATATGATGGTAAATCTAATCTATAATGTAGCTCAAGGTATTTTCCCCCCAGAATCAATGTGGATTTGGCTTGCTGGTTCTCAAGCCTGTGAACAACGTTTTCGCCTTCTTGGATTGATGACTTCCACTTTTTCAACCATGGTAATCTTTTCTTTAAAAGGGATAATCGAAAAGGTACATAGGCTACAGCATGTATCGGCCTCAGAATGTGACAATAACATTATCTTTCCAAGGGTAAAAAGGCGCTTATTACATCTGAAGGAAGAAAGTGAAGCGTCGTTCTCGATTCCTAATGCTTGATCTTATCACTAAGAAAATAAGTAAAGCAGAGATTGATGCCATTGCAGTGTGTAATAGTTGTCGCATGGTTCTAAATTCATACGAAGACAAAGATCTGGTTCAGAACATTGAGAAAGTCATTGAAGAAGCAATACAACATGATCACGAGTCCTCAGAAAGTACCATAATCGAGACTGATAATTTTTCATGTCCCAATGAAGTGCCTATGACGCCAAAAGATATAGTAACAATCAAAGAAGACCTTTCTGCTATAAAATTGCAAAGCACAGCTTCATCAGTTGGGATACCAACTTACCAGGTGCTTGACGAACACAAAATACACTCGACTGGCAAGAACTACTCCTTGTCTGGAAAAACAAAGGACACACCAAAATCTAAGAAGAGCTCCACAAAGGCCCAGAAGAAGTCGATTTCCCTTTTTGTTTTATACCAAGGCTCATATATATGAAAGAGCACAGCTTTGTATTTACTACAAGAGAATTTCCAAATCTCAAGCGATCGCCTCATGCGTGTCAGATCAGAGCAGCCAAGCCACATATTTTCAGGAACAGAAAAAACTGGTCCTCAAAATTCGGTCAAGTCTGGTGATCTTGCCGTATTAACAAGGTTTGACTGTGAAAAAGGTTTACTCGGCAGAATATTTCAATTTTCGTATTTGACAGGTAGGAAGAAAGATTGTCAGTATTCGTCGAACTTTGTGGATTTGTTGAAAGAAAGTTACAAAAATATTGGTGTATATGCAAACTGGTTTGAGGAAACACAAGCCTTAGACAATCAGGCCACTAGCAAAGTTTCGTTTAAACCTGTTGACCTTATATTCACTCCAGGGGTACTTACCAATGTCACAAGTATCGACGATTCAATTTTATTATATAATGCAGATTTTTTATTTCTTGTTCCTGTTCAGATTTTGAAAACAGTGTTACCTCGATGGCAAGTCAAGATGACTTTTGATATGACTTAAAAGAAATCCGGTAAATACTCTAAGCTCGCTTTGTAATGGTGTATCAAAGAAATATTATAACAGTATTCATTGATTACGTTGTGTCCTTATATTTTCATGCAATTTTAATTTATGCAGAACAGTGGCGTCCAAAGTGGAGAAATGATCGCCTTTGTACAGGGGGTGCACATTAGGGGGGTGTGACACCCCCATCTTTTTCAAAATCAGTCCAAAATGTCTCTCCCACAACGCATTTGAAGCGACTAAAGAAACTTTATTATTCCAATGTCAATTAGCTAGTTCTTCTCTGATACGTTTGATATTTTTATGATTTATGGCAAAATTTCAAAATAAATTTGCAGTTCAGAATGCGGGAAACAGCATTTCTGGGGTTCAGATTTCAAAATTTTCACAAAAGTGCATTCTCCCATTGGCAACTGGGTTAACCGATTGGATTCATATGGGAAAAGTCAAATATACATTTGTGCTAAGTTTCATGCTTGTCGATTACCAGTAAAATATAATGAAAATCCTAAAAATCCTTAAGAATCTTAGGAAAATCTCTGAAAATCGTTGAAAAAATCTTGTACGCTATTTTCGAAGTGATACGCCCCTTGGAAATTTCGATACGACTACTGGCGTTTCCCTACTAGACCAGTATGTTTTGCTGTTGCAAAATGTCGTAAAGGAAAACAGGCTCCTTTATAGAGAACAAATGCCCAATATAATTACAAGGATTAAAAATGTGCTGAAGAATATCAATGAGAAGATGGATATCATGGCTCGATCTAATCTTCTAATAACTGTGATCTAACACTGGGCATCTCACAAATGGGGCAAAATATACAGAGAGTGCCCAATGCTTGCAGTGTAAGTAAAACATTTATTTATACCTATTTATATTTCCATTTAGAATTGTCAGACAATGCATCATTGCTTCGTACAGTATATGTATATAAATAAACTTTGCCCATTTGACCTTTATACAAATACAGTTTATTTGAAATATTGGCGAAACATTTGAAATCATTTTCAAATTCAAGGACATATAGCCCACATATATATATGGTCTAGTATTTGCATTTAATTTAGCTAAATACAGTACTATGGAATTAGTCTTATTATATGCCATAACTGCTTCTTAAAAATGGCTAGTATTTGATGCATTAAGTTGATTAGACTTAGACAGCATGGTATGCAGGATGAATTTCTCTTGTCTTTATATAATATTTTATTTTGATATATTTATTGTTTTGACAATAAGTTAAAAATAGCTTGAGGTGGTGTCTTTCATCCTGGCAAACGGGCTTGCCTGCTTGTGAGTGTTTATATGGAGAAATTCCCATCCTGGTAGCTGTTCCATGATGTATTTCAATTAAATAAAGAATTTTGATCACTAAAAAAAAACTAAAGTGATTAAAAATTAATAAAGTGTGTGGATAATAAAGTCATTAATGAAGTTTTCTAGAATAAAAAGTTCAAAATAATTGTAGTTCATCGGGACATGTCTAGATCTGTAGCTGCATTATTATCTGCTGTTCCCACTAATGGTGGATTTGTGGCAACATCTGCAACTTGCGCTGGTCCATTCTTAACCAACTGTCCACAATCTGGACAGTTGGCTGATTTCGGTGTACTTGATGGTTCCCTTTGCTCCCTTGGCATCATGACTCTCTTTGATAGTCCAGGCAGCGAATCCTGGTAATTCTTATCGAGGTTTCTCTTTACTTGCCTTAGTTCTTTGCTTTCCCAAGTAAACTTTCATACTGCTTAACCCTATGGGTTTCGGGTTTCTTCGTCCATCTCACTTTCATCGGATGACACATTCTTTATCGTAAGGACATCTGCAACCATTGCCACTCTTCAACCTTTGCCACTCTTTCCTGGCTCCATTAACTTTCTTGCTGATGCAGCGAGCGAGCTTGAAGCGAGCAAGTCAGCAGTTCCATTTCGTATTGGGGTCTGAAAGTATGATTTTACTTCCGATTCTCCGACCAGAATGCACTGCTGTCAACAGACCAGAATGCATTGCTGTCAACCAACCAGAATGCTTTGCATGCATGATGCTATAAATACAGGGAATCTCATTAGTCAGTTTATATAACGATGCAGTTGTTTTGGTGTATTTTGTATTCATTGTATGGTCTATTGATTTCTGGCTGATCTAGAAAGCGATATTTCTGTGTGCTATGCCTTAATGCCCTTATCTTGTTTTCTCTTTTCTTATCACATTTCGCAGTAAAATGAACACTGTCATTACCAAGCGAATTTCATCTCGATTGTTGTCTATCAGTTTCGTATAATTTAAACAGGGTTTCATCTGTTTAATTTTTGTTTGAATATAATTTTACTATAAGGCAATTGACACAGAGACATGGCATCAACAGTTCGGAAACTGCCGACTATGACTATAGTATGACATTTTAAAAACAATGTTTTACATGATATTTCATGAGAAAATTAAATGTAATTTTGCCTGCTGAAAAGTACTAAAGGGTGTATCAAAAAAACTGCAAACACTACTGTATGATTCTGCTGCTTACTAGCATTTCAATGTCTGTGCTAGTTATTCTGCACCTGGGATTTGAAAATAGTAATTAAAATAACACAAAGTTATTTGTAATGCAGAAAACTAATCAGTTAGAATGCGAATGGGGTCAACTATTGTGTATACGCACGATTTGGACCAAAATTAGTTCTGAATCATGCACATTCTAAAAACATTGTATTTCAAAAGTTTACAGGTTTTTTCATACACCCTATATGCCAGTGATGTTTTCCAGGGGGAATGTGGGGAAACAGCATCCTCCCACCTTTTTAACCAGGGGAACGGCGTCCCCCATGCCGAAATCAAACATGGGGGAACGGCGTTCCCCCTAGCTGGAATGAAATATGAGTGAAGTTCAGTGAACGCCGTTCGACACTGTCCAAATAATTTTGGCTATCACTTGCACTACATACGTGTTATTTTTGGCAACAATTACTCCGCATCCTACTATTTTAAAAATCTCCCTGAAACTTGATATACTTGCAGAAAATTCTAGCAGACTAGCACAAAAATACTAGAGTCTCGTACAGGTAATTCACGTTCGGTTTATATATGTAAGTACTTATTGTCATAAGCGCGGATAACATCAGGCAACAGCCAGGCAAGATATAATTAGTATAGTCTTCCGCGCAATCGCGAAATTAAACATTAAAATGAACATTAAAATGATCAATGGGGAACATAAAATGATTCAATAAGAACATTAACATGATTAAACTGGAAAAATTGAAGGATATCTATTATCTAAACTTATTTAGTTACTCGCGAAAACGTCATATTTAACTTGCAAAGTTCACTGCTTGCCGAGTTGCCGGATACTCAGTGCTCACATAGCATTAATTGCATCATCGAAATTCGAAAGTCAACATGGTTTTATTTGCCTTTTGACATCTCCCACGAGCAAGCTAGGTGTTTTTTGGGTACATGTTGTACTAAATCCATTTCAAAGATTAAGATATTGCGTATGTACTTCAGTACTTGTTCACTATGACTATGCATGAGGCCGCGCCCAATCGAGTGATCACGCCTATTTGATTTTCGAGAGCATCTTCCCACTTCTAAAATTAGCAAAACATCGCTGCTATATGCTGTATACACAATATACATTAATATGCATTGTTTAACAAAAAATACACAATGCATATGCATTGTTTAACCATGCAACACAACCATGGGCAAGTCAGTAAGATTGAAGCATGTGCATGGAATATTTTTTATCATTCATGCTTTTTTGTCAGGCATGTGTCCAATGCACGTAGTTACTAAAACATGGAACGACCCACAACGACCCACTATGACCCCGCAACGACCCACTACGATCCACAACGACCCCAGAACGACCCCACAACGATCCACAACGACCCCAGAATGACCCACAATCAGCCACTACGACCCCACTACGACCCCACAACGACCCCACAACGACCCACTATGACCCCAGAACGATCCACAACGACCCCAGAACGATCCACAACGACCCACTACGACCCTACTACGACCCACAACGATCCACAATGACCCCAGAACGACCCACACAACCCACTACGACCCCCAATGCGTAGTTACTAAAACATGGAACGACCCACAACGACCCACTACAACCCCGCAACGATCCACAACGATCCCACAATGAACTTGTGGATCGTTGTGGCTGGCTTTTTGGTCATTGTGGCTCGTTGTGGGTCCGTAGTGGGTCATTGTGGGTCGTAGTGGGTCGTTCCATGTTTTAGTAACTACGGTCCAATGCATTAAAAACAATGTCCTCAACTTTAGCTTTCAAAGTAACACAGCTTTATTTTGATGTCCTTGGATGCAAAATAATGTTTATAAACGACTTTGCATCAGTAAATTCAAATAACGACAATACGATAGCCTGCCGATTGTATACAGGGTGTCTCAAAAAACCTCAAAACTGTTGAAATAACATATTGTTAGAATCTGAATGTCCTATAGGACTAAGCTGAAGGCAAAACTGCATAAAATATTGAGGGTACATACATGTATACTAAATATTGACTTATTAAGAGATTAAAACATCTTCGTAAAGAATTTGAATTTAAAGCAGCTTCTTAATTATACAGTCTTTTTAGGCATAAAATTCACTTATGTCAAGCAATGATGTCAAGCTTTTATGCACTTGTGTTATTTCAATCGTTTTGGGGTTTTTTGGGACACCCTGTATGTGAATCAGGCTTTTACGTTTAAGCCATTTATAACATTCACAGTCTGTGCTTTATCAGATAATAATTATAAAACACTGGAGCTGTGCTCTCGTCTTTTATATCTGCTAAAGCACTCGCCTGCTCATGTTTTAAATAGTACATACGGAACTCATTCTACAGTTGTGGTCTTGTGATAGTTTGAAGTAATGTTTGTGCAGGTCTTTAATGTTGATACAGTGTATCCTTCAGTGACGACGTGTGATTAAAAGCATTGAATAATCAGTGTTGTCTTAAAATTATTGTTGGCTGAT